GTTTTTTAAGACAATTGACCCCTGTGACCTTGAATATAATTGAAGGTCATTCATTTGAACAAACTTGGTAGCCCTTCACCCTAGCATGCTACTGACCAAATATCATCTCCCTGGGCAGTTTGGTTATTGAGAAGAAGTTGTTTAAAAGTTTTTAACATATTTGACCCCTGTGACCTTGAAAATACATGAAGGTCATTTATTTGAACAAACTTGGTAGCCTTTCATCCCAGTTTGCTTCTGGCCAAATATCATCACCCTAGGCCTTTCGGTTATTAAGAAGAAGTCGTTTAAAGTAAAATATTGACGCCGGATGCCGGACGACGGACGGACGAACGGACGACGGACGCCGCACCACGGCATAAGCTCACTTGGCACTTCGTGCCAGGTGAGCTAAAAATGTATAGGGACAGGACAGACATGGTCAACACTAGTACTATAGGGACAGGACGGACATGGGCAACGCTAGTACTATATGCCCCCTTCCCATTTTATGGTGGGGGCATAAAATGTTAATCCGAACAGGTATTATCATCTGGAAAAAGCATAGGGTCTATTTCCCCCACATAAAATATGACAAACTGAATTGAAACTAGAATTATGTCAGTGTGACATTACAGCCGCTCACCACTTTAAATCTAATTGCTTCAGTAACACGTTGAGCATCAATGTCTACTAAAATACCTCAGATATGTGTTCTGTATTCTGCTAATTGAAAATCAGGTCATGTGATGATGTTGCCTTTGGGATTTTCAAAATCAATCGCCTCTTAAATGATGCCTTAAAAACATTTCTCCCTCTCCTCTTTTTTTCACCCTCTTTAAGTGTGACGCATTGTTGTAATTTCATTAAATAGCGTCCTCCAATGATGTGACATGAGCATTTACGTGCAGAATGGCAATCGGTGAATGGATAATAAAGAATAGGTGCATTTTGTGCTTGTGAAATGAAGGTTAATTAACAGTAGTGGGAAAACATGGAGAAAAGAGACATTGTACTATTTTATTTTTATTTATTTTTTATTCATATCAATATATAATTATTAATATATGTAGCGACTATATTTACCGTCATTGAATATACAAAATTTCACAAATGTTCTTGGAATATATTTGAATTATATTTCTCAATGTGACTTTAACAACGTAAGAGTTATTTCCCTTACACCGAATTGGATACTATTTTGACACGGCGCGGCTATTGTGTCATGTTCTTAAATTGTTGCACTTTCATAAATCAATACACAAGAAATAGCATGCTGTGTTACAGAAATGTTTGATAAACATACACAGTTCACATATCGTCTCGTCTCAGAGCCATTACCGTTATCATCCTAAGCACGATATGTCATATTACGTTCCCGTTTCAAACATCAAAATAGAGGTTATACTTCATCACTCATACGGTTTATAGGTATATACATTTACTTCTTCCTTCTACAGATAGCGTCAATGCTTGAAAGTCTTCACTTGTGCTTTCTCGTATCATATGTGTTTCACACGCGTAACACTCCTCAGACCGCAATCCGAGTTGCTAAAACGCTCAAACCTAGTGCACGAATTTCACCACCACAACACTCGTAGAATGCACCGGAGATGAACATTTTGTTTTCAGCAATTATTTAAAGTATGGATTATTATTTGGAGAAGAGTATCAGAAGACTTTATGTAACCCACAGGTTAGTGTCAGAGATTCTACTTTCTATTTACGATAACGAAACGATATAGCGGAAGCATGCACGACTGAATTATGCGCACGCACCCCGAACGGAAGTGGGTCCGTCATTTCGTTCTCTGGACAGAATTAATAAGCCGCCCGGCTCTCGCCAGGAGCGGCTTAAAAATCTGACAAATGTTTATGACTATCCATACCTCAGCGATGTTTTTGGAGAGAAAGTATACATCCACACCGTACAAACCAGATCCATATTCCCTCAAAAATATAGGCAGTTCTAGCGGGAACAGCTGCAACACATCAGAAGAAAAATTCACACACCAAATCTGTTAATACTATACATATTACAACAAGGTCATGAAATCATCAAACAATTAAAACCCATAATTATTAAATTTGTCAACCTTGGTTCTCATCACTTAAATTAAGGGTCCTCTGTGTCTCTTCACTGTACAACCCTTGATGGGCAAAAGAATAAAACATGAATAAAGAGTTATCTCCCTTACTAGTAAAACATTCCACATATATATGTACAACCATCAGTAATATTATATATAATAAATGAACATATCAACCCATTCACCCCTAAAGTCGCATGTAAACCTTACCAAAGCAAAGACTAGACTTAAGTCCAGTTTTAAAATGTAGGGGTGAATAAGTTAATCACAAATTCTTGTTCAAAGCAAAGTTACACATTTTGGCAGGTGTTTTTTTTTATTCTGACAGGTCAAAAGCATTAATCGACATCCTTCCCTTAAATTAATATACAGCTTCTGGACAATCTTACATTGATAACAGCAAAGAGGTTCTGCATGGTCATCTGGATGAGGAGGAGGAAGAGGAGACCATTGATGTTCTGGACGTCATTCTGATTGTACTCATCATTTGTCTTCAGGTAGATCAGTCCAAATAACACGGAGATTACCTAAACGACACAAGAATTTGCCTAAACATCACTGAGAATACCAACAACACAAAGATTCGCTAAACAACATGGATTACCGAAACGACACAGAGATTATATACCGAAACAACATGGATTACTCAAACGACAGAGATTATATACCTAAACAACATGGATAACTGAAACGACACGGATATTATATACCTAAACAACATGGATTACCGAAACCACACGGATATTATATACCTAAACAACATGGATTACCGAAAGGACACAGAGATTATATACCTAAACAACATGGATTACCGAAACGACACGAGATTATATACCTAAACAACATGGATTACTGAAACGACACGGAGATAATATACCTAAACAACATGGATTACCCGAACAACAAGGAGATAATATACCTAAACAACATGGATTACCGAAACGACACGGAGATTATATACCTAAACAACATGGATTACCAAGACAACACTGAGATTACCAAAATGACACAAGAATTTTCCTAAACAACGCTGAAAATACTTACAACACAGAGATTACCTAGACAACGTGGATGACCAAACCAACACTGAGAATATCTAAACAACAGTGACAATATATAAACAACACTGATAATATCCAAACAACACTGAGAATACCTAAACAACACTGAGAATACCTAAACAACACTGAGAATACTTTAACAACACTGAGAATACTTAAACAACACTGAGAATACCTAAACAACACTGAGAATACCTAAACAACACTGAGAATACTTAAACAACAGTGACAATACCTAAACAACACTGAGAATACTTTAACAACACTGAGAATATCGAAACAACACTGAGAATATTAAAACAACACTGAGAATATCTAAACAACACTGATAATACCTAAACAACACTGAGAATATCTAAACAACACTGATAATATCTAAACAACACTGAGAGTATCTAAACAACACTGAGAATACCTAAACAACACTGAGAGTATCTAAACAACACTGAGAATACCTAAACAACACTGAGAATACCTAAACAACACTGAGAATACATAAACCACACTGAAAATATATCTAAACACTGAGAATACCTAAACAACACTGAGAATACCTAAACCACACTGAAAATATATCTAAACACTGAGAATATCTAAACAACACTGATAATATCTAAACAACACTGATAATATCTAAACAACACTGAGAATATCTAAACAACAAGAAGAATACCTAAACAACACTGAAAATACCTTAACAAACTAAAGATACCTGAACTAAAAAATAAATGATTATGTAAAAAACACTGACTGAGGTGATCTTAACACAGATTTCTTAAACAGAAGAAATTACCTAATCACTGAAATGAAGATTACCTAAACATGGAGATTACCTTAACAACACACAGAGATTACCTGAATACAAGGACATTTCCAAGCCTGGAGTTTACTTAACAACACTGGAATAATATTACCAACAAATAGATTATCGAAACAATGCAGATTATATCTATAAAAATATTACCAACACTGGGTTTATCTAAATAGCATGCGGAATACCTGAACATTTCTATAACGACCTAAACTAGGGAATTATCTGAACATTTCTACACATTTATTGATGGGTATATATACCGAAACATTTTTACCCAGAGATAACATGAACCTCTCCACATGGACTGTTGAAAGCTAGATCGCAACACACTATAGTTCCAAGTAGTTTAAAACTATGTACGTAAATAAACAGTAACACCACACATGCATATCTAATCCCAACCCTGAATATTTTGAGATTCTGTATAATCTGACCCCTGAGTAATCTGACATTCAGTCGTATCGGCCCCTTTGCTATTCTGACATCTTGATAAATTCCTGCATTCATCATTATGTGAGTTTTGTTTTCCCAGCTGTTAAATTTGATTTACCAAGTATTTTGATTTTACATTATGTTATAAATCCATCTGGATTAGAAATTAATGTATACCGGTACTATAAGTAATACAATGTAGTAAAGTAACAGATTATGTTTTATCCCAATCACAAATGATCAATTTGTACTGCAGTTATAAGTAATGAGGTTTTTAACAACACTGTTTTATGTCTTACAATGGTCTGGAATATCTTGGCCTTAAACACTATTGGATCTCGGACGTTGGTCACCCAACTCCTCCATAGCACGTTGATGAATTGAGCAAACCAGCTGGCACCATATCTATTAAAAACAAGAATATGATACTGGTATCACGAATCAATAAATATGGGTAACAACAACATGTTTACTGAAACCTCTGATTATCCTGTTGATGTATTCCGTAAATTAATTTATGACTTTCAGAATCAATTTATATTTATTTGGTCTATTGAAGTGTACGTGAAAACATGAATGCTCCGACACGGTGCTCCTAGGATAATTTTAGGTTGCCAATGTTCACAAAAATGTACAAATTGTGAATATCTTTCCTATTCACTAAAGGTGTCTAAGGCAGCTGGGGTTCGATTCCCTGATTGGACGTGAAAAGATCACCTGTCCGACCACATGGGTTTTCTTGGAGCACTCCAGTTTCTTCCCATTATAATTAAGACCCTCCGTGCACTAACATCCGGACCAACAAGAGTGATTATTTTAAGTTGAAATAACTTATTCAATATTTGTTATATTTTACTAAAGGTGTATCTAATAAATCTTGAAAAAGCTTCCTGATGACATTATACATAAATAATATGAATATCCTTTGTTTAAGGATCATTCCAGATTTCCTACCGCGTCAAGTTATTAATACATGGTTTATAAACTCGTAATCTTGGAAAGCTTTTCTGCAGAAAGGTAAATATCAAGGATCCACTTTACCACTTATTATAGTAAGTGTCTTACCTTGAAGAGTCGAAATCAGACTGAAACATAACAGAAACAGGTAAAATTATATTCAGAAGACATGCAGTGTTGACAAGACGATCAATGAATCAAAGTCTTGTATATACATATGAGGAATACGGACATTCTTCCAGCTGGTATAAAGAATATGAGGTCTAAATCAAGATTTTCTAAGATATTAACCTTAAAAACCTATACACGAGGAAAGGATTATATCCAAAACATTCTCTCACCTTTTACACATGTTTTTTGTATCAATTGGCATTTGCCTTTTTATCAAAATAAATGTTAAACTACAGAATATTTTGCTAGATAACATACAACTTAAGGTAATAGGATTGTGTCGCCATTTCTCAGTAGAATTTATTCAAATTTTGTAGTTATATTGCTTTGAAGTAAAGAAAATTTTCTGCCACAAAAAAAATATAGGTTGTCAGAATTTTAAGGATTTTAAATGGTAATTTATGTAAAAAGGATTGAATTTTGAAAAAAAAATTGAAACACACATTTTTTTGGCAAAATATTGTCAATAAAAATGATACTAACATAGATTAGTATTGCATTAATGTATATCAATTTCATAAATGCTGAAATTGTGTAAAATTAATCATCTATAAACGATTAAAAATTGACATTTTATAATAAAACCATATACACATAGTAATTGCATGCAAGAGTTATCGTTCTTGAAAAACTTCACAGTAGTGAAGTAGGTAGCCGGTTTCCTGAAGTACAGAAAAATGGACACATGTGACTCATTGATTAAAAAACAACTGAATTAATGCCTGGATTGCTTTGCAATACTTTAATATTGAAAGAACACACTGTTCTGTCAATAATAAGCATACAATATTCATCAGTTTAATATTAAACATTAGAATATGCGGAAATTGTGATACTGTCTCCCTACATTGGATTTTCAACTAGGGATGTACTTCCTATTTCCGTTTAGCAATACACTCCTATGACCTTAAGCAAAACAGATATTGAATGGGCAAGATAAAGTACAATAGAAAAGTATACTAGAAAACTAAATCTGTCTAAAAGAGCTGGACTGCAATCATGCTTAATACTTTTTTATTTGAATAATGCAATATCATGATCAGCTGCCAACTACGATCTGTATAGATATATCCTTTGGCTGTTCATAAATCACAATTCATGACGTCACATATGACAATGAGGCGATATAACATCTCATTTCAGAACATCAGTAAACAAATTTGATTGAATCAATTTGAAATTAAATGGGATAGTTCCATGGGTTATGGAGCTAACACCATTTCTCTTATTTTACCTTGCTTGGATACCACCAGGTATGCAGGGCAATTAAGAATAGGGAAAACTAAGCATAGAAGTCAATCCCAATAAGCTCGGAATAAGTCAAGTTTTATTTCATCAGGAAACGATTCCTATTTGGGAGGGTCTGCAATTTTTGCGATTGACTTCTATACTTAAATTAAATGAGATATGTAACCAGTATCTGAAACACAATAAATCAAGAAGAGCAGAAGAAATACATTGGGAAGTTGCTACTATTCTTAAAAAAAAGAGATTATGGAAGAAATAAGAATCTTAAAGGTTGTATAAAAATAAAATAATAATGTGAGGTTCTTATAAACCGCTTTATCACAACCTAGTTCGCAGGTCGTCTCAAAGCGGCTCACAAATTATTATCCTTGGTTATGCAACCAGCCAATATCTTTCTCCACTCCCTTGGGCGCATACAGCCGGAGCTGCCATTTCGGCGCTCCTAGCTAGCATTCTACAATTCTAGCACGGTCCAACCACATACTCAATTTAACTTCAGGTTATAATCAACTTCAGCTGACAGTACACTTACACTGAGGTTGTATCCGTTTGACGAGGAGCTGGAGATTTCTCCAATTTCATCCATCATACCCTTACAGGTGCTGGTTTTCTCAAAAGAGTTACAAATGGACTGAAAGAAAAAAAACACATTATGTAATTGTGATAGACTTATCCGATATAAACATTTACAACAGAGACATGCATATTTGGGCTTTAGACCATCAAAATCTAGCAAAACTCAAAAGTGTTTCATCAACCTATAATCACAATTTCTAGTAGTTTACCGGTAACATAAAAAGCGTCAATGATTTCAATTTTGAATATAACTTTTTTTAGGCTGGGCAATTCATTTACCGACTCACTTTTGAAAGAAAAGTCTCTAATAAGGCTTTAAATATACAACTTTTTTTTCAAACATTTGGAAGGTTCTGCAAGAAATCTATGATTGTCCTGAAAGCTTGTTAGGTTTAAAGTGGTAATTAATGTAATAGGCGTTAAATAAATTATTTCAATATCAAAATAAGCGCAGATAACTATACTTTTCCGTCTTTGCGTATTGCAGAGTTATCGTCTCTTGAGAGCAGGTATTGATTGTTAAGTCATTGGTTTGTGTGAGAAAATTACGTCGTTTTCTCAAAAACTGATGACGTTACTCTCAAAAACAAATGACGTAACAATCAATACCTGCTCTCAAGAGAAGATAACTCTGCAATATGCAAAGACGGAATATATATATATATATCACATTAAGGATCTCCATACCAGTACCTTAAACTGTATCTAATAGAAAACCATACATTCAGGGAATTTTTGTAAAATGGTCAGAGTGAAAATGAACATGTACAACAAAGAATCTACAAAAGTGTTCGGAGTGTAGAAATAGGGTCAGATCAGGGCTGCTTTCGTTTATCGCGATCCAAACGGTTCAACCGGTTGGACCACTGTTGTTCGTTGAAATAAGGTCAGGCCCAGTATAATCTGATGTTGATTTCAGGTGAGCCTTGAAAAAGCCTTGCAAGGCCCGCATAAAGTTTTCCAGGTCCACCAGGATTTATACCGGAAAATGTTACATTTAAAAACGGACGTACCGGTTGTCACGCATAAACGAACAGGCTCCTGGTTACAAACCCTGGACATCCTCCAATCATTACACTGTGGCTTAAACCACAGGGGCAGCCTGAACAATGGCAGTACCTAAAGTCAAGTCGCACTAGTCACATACAAAATTAAATTAGGAGGAAAATAGTGTAACATGTAGTTATAAACCTACAGTGGAATTCTTTTTCACTATTTTACTTGTAGTGGGACAAGGAGCCTTAAAACAATCTAAAAACAAAATGTCTGACAATCTGAAACACTTGACTGGTCCCTAATCGCCTCTCGAGTCCGCCTTTCTCTAACATCGATGTCATAACATCCACCCACCTCCACTCTGCGTTTGCAGTTTTCCACACTGTCCGGGAGAATAGCCAGAGTCATGATGAAGTAATCGGCCGGATTGTAGTTTGGAGGGCACTGGAAATTTTCACTGAAAAGAAAAGATTTTACATGTATCACATGAAAGATGCAAATATGTTTTCTTCCTTTTTATTCTCTCTTTTTGAGATTTTCTTTTTGCTTATGGCATTTGTTGGATACAGAAATTACAAACCCTGGTGTCCAATAGATAAAGTAATGTTGTAATAAATTGACACTTTTCCAATTTCAGTGTAACTTTCTATATTACCATGTCTAACCATATTTTCAAAAAGAGCTCAAAATCAAATATGCTGTTGACATTTTAAGAACTTTGTAGCTCCTTTTCCTGCAATCCATCATAACTTGGAAATGCTCATTTCCACAATGACAATATCAAGATTATATATATATACCACATAATCATACTATATATACCTCTTTACATAATTTGGAATATATTGGCGCTGCTAAAATTTGGCATTTTTGCCAGAATGGAGTATATATTGTGAAATTATTTTGGTGTCAAGTGTTTAATTTTAACTCATTCGCTCCAGGGGCCAAATAAACCAAAATTAACCCACATCCAAAATATTCCATAGTCAGGTATACGTATATAGCAATAATCAAGCCATTTGGATTGATATTATTTGTCTTGCCTGAGCCCCGCTTTGACCATTTATGCACATATCGGTGAAATAAAATTTGATATAGACGACATTTGAAATTATATGCCCGACTGGTCCGAGTTTGGTTGGTCTAGCACTTATAGTTTCAGAGAAACTAACTTAAACACTAAAACGTAATGTTGATGGAGATGCTGACAAATTAAAGTCAATGGACCATGAAAGGTAAATATAAGCCGCATATATATACAGCATTTGATGCATTGGTTGAGATGCACTACCTACGATGCATCTATGGCCCAAGTTTGGTCGGTCTAGCACTTATACTTTCGGTAAAACTTAACTTAAACGCAAAAACTTAATGTTGACGCCGCCCCCGCCGCCAGAAAGCATACACTTTAGTATTACTTTCTCTACTTTGTTGCGGTGAGACAAAAATGTGGTTTCTGCTTTCCCTGAAAATCCTAGGTTTTAGTGACAACCCAAAACTAATCTTTGTTAGATCATTTTAACTCATTCACCCCTGGAGACACATTTGAACTTTTCCAATTCAAAGGTTGGAATAGTTCATTATGAATTTTCAGGGGTGAATTAGTTAAACAGGCACATACTGTTGAAGTATGAAACACCACCTTTATAAAACCCTAATTGTGAAAATATCTGGCAAACTAAGAATTGAAGTTTTGCCTACTACTGGTAAATATCTTTTGAGAGCTGAATACAGAAATATTTTTTTGGTCCAAGGCAGAAACTAACTACTAACTTGCTGAAGAATTCCAGTGCTTCATTGGCAGGTCCAAAGTAGGCGACTCTTCCTTCTGTCAGCAACAGTAACCTGAAACAAGCAATTGTATTGTTTATGAGAGTATTACTATTAACACCTAGATCTCCATGTAAATTTTACAACATTTTATCAATGAAGGCACAAATTTCTGGATTACAAAGCACTATTTAAGGGTTACAAAATACAATCTGAGGATTGCCTGCTAGATAACCAATTGAAACTACTCAGTAGTGAAATCATTTCATCCGAGAACCATCAAGGATTGGAACGCACTGCCCATCAGCACAGCAGTAGACTCCATCCAGCCATAAATGCCATATCTTTCTGGCGCAAAATAGTGAGATCAGTGATTATTTTTAGTGAAATTTGGTCAAAAATAGTGAGATTTTTTCTCTGATTTAGTGAGAAATTCGTGAGACATTGAAAACATAAATCATATAGCATATAACATAGTATTAAATCATTTGTGTTATTCTGAAGCCTCTAATTACTTTGTTAGCACCAAAATTGAAGATTTATTGATATTTTAAAAGATTTTAGGGAGGTTTACACGTGACCTATGACGAACAATTACGGTCCAGATAAAATTGTAGATGTAGAACCATTCAGATATTACCAAAACAGGCATTATAATAGTTATTTTTTACCTTGATTGACATATTGCCAAGTCATATGACACATAAATCTATGAAATGTTTTCAAAAAAGTATTCTGCCTTTCCCAAGTCGTGGCCTAGACAAGAATACTGAATGACCCATTGACTGGACATAGTGCTATCAATTTAATTGGTCATAGACTAATAACCTTTGAGTATTACCATCAGAGAGCACTGGAATTTTGTTTAACTCATTCACCCCTGAAATGTTATAATGGACTGCTCAAACCTTTGCATTGGAAGATTTCAAATGTGTCTTCAGGGGTGAAAGAGTTAAAAAACATCTTACTGGTCAAACATTTCAAACACCTCCGAGGAGGGTTGATGGAGAGTGGTGATGATGGTACGCCCCTTGGACACCAGCAACTTTAGGGTCTGTACAATGTTTTTGGCCATATAGGAATCAAGACCGGACGTAGGCTCGTCACAGAAGATCAGCGGGGGATTTGACAGCACCTCGGAGGCAAAGGCCAGCCGTTTCCTTTCTCCTCCCGATATTCCCTTCACTCGACCGGGTGTCCCAATCACAGTGTCGGCACATTTGGATAGACCAAGCTATAACATTAACAAACAGTTATTACCTTTCCATGAGTTTGATATATGGATTTATCAACATTTTGTAATACTATGACCAAGACCAAGGTCCTATTCAAAGCTTTATTTGTTGCAAAAACGCATATTTTTTCGAAAAATAAAACGAAATTTTTTTTTTTGTATTTCTTAATCACATGAATAGATGATCTGAAACAATTGCGCTTCCATTGTAATTGTATGTTTTATATGAAAAAAGAACCGACAGCATGTTTATGAAAGACAGATACTTTCGTAAACTACATTGGTGTTTCCAGGAGACTTACCTCTCTTATGACCTCCTCGACCTTTTGTAGACGTTCCTTTTTACCAATTCTCTTGTCCATTCTTAGTAAAGCCTGAAACACCATAACATCATAACAGAAACATTGTATAACGCCCTTCATAGTGATAAACATTAGCTATCTTAACACCAGATAATCAGAGCTACACATTAAAATATTTCAGCTGACAAATTCTGCAATAAACAGTCACAATCAGCAGAAGGTGCCACCTCCGATTCAAGATCAGCAAAGTTTATAGAATTATATCTGGAGGTTTAATACAAGTTTTCTATCACACATTAGTTTCAAATGATGTCCTTCCAGTCTACTCAGCTGTAAATGAGAACGTGGATGGGCAGTGCTAGAATTTTTGAATGCTAGCTGTTAGCGTCTAAAGGGCAGCTCCAGCTGTATGCTCCCCAGGTAGTTGAGAAAGATATTGGCTGGTTGCAAAGGCCCTATAACCACAAATAATAATTTGTGAACCGCTTTGAGACGAACTAGGTTGTGATAAAGCGGTATATGAGAACCTTGAATTATTATTATTATTATTAAACCTATAGTTTGCAAGGCAAATTCCCCGTTTGGAGTTGCATTTATAGCTTTCACACATATATCCTGAATGTGAAGAGTTCCCAGATGGTGCAATATCCTTCAAGAGTTATCCATCCTGATTAGGAGAGGTTTGCGGACTGCGAGACTCTGAGAGTCCTGATGTCAAGAGTTATCTATCCTGATTAGGAGAGGTTTGCCGACTGTGAGACTCTGAGAGTCCTGATGTCATGGGTTATCTATCCTGATTAGGAGAGGTTCGCCGACTCTGAGACTCTGCGAGTCCTGATGTCAAGAGTTATCTACTCTGAAATTGAGATGCTGTTGATGGTGGTGCGGCTGTCAAGTTACCTACCCTGAATATTAGATGTTCCCTGACGGTGAGAGTTCCTATAAAGAGATCATCTTGCTGAAGATATGCAGACATGTTGCGAATACTTTTGCCGACCTCAACACCATTGAGGCGGACATCGCCTTGTACGACTAAATTCTTTGTTTGGTTCCTGCAGGTCAATACGTTCATCAGTGTAGACTTCCCAGCACCACTGCTCATAGAACAAAGTAGAACAGACCATGGTCATATTAACATTTGAATCCAGGGGCCAGTGTCTGTTTATGTGGAACAACTGGTTTGTCGGTTTTTAAATGTAACATTTTTGGGTATAAATCCAGGTGGACCTGCAAAAGTTTATGTAGGCCTTGCAAGGATGAGCTTCGTCAAGGCTCGCCTGAAAACTGTATCAAATTACTTAATAAGTCCACCTTTATTTCATTTAACCGTTTGGATCTTAAGTGGCTCAAAATTTTTCTTAAGTGGCTCAAAATTTTTTCAAACACCTCACAAAATCTGAAGAATTTTACCAAATTTGCTTAAAAGTAAGAAATGTGTGGTTAATTTTCCAATTCTGTGTTTCCTTGAAAATCCACTTTATTTGGATTTTGATAACGCATTTATTTTAGTTATTTCTATGCTTTTGTAAGCTATTTTGTCATTTTTGTTATATAATTTGAAAATGTATCATACCTGGCTCCTAAGATAGCCAGCAATGTTCCAGGTTTCACTATTCCAGATACTGAAAAATAATTCATAAAATACTGTTATTATTCAAATTATCGTTCATAAATAACAGAAGATTATAAGCACAACTGATCTTCCCCCCCNTTAAGCAGTCTCAATCCAAATATTGATAACATTTTTCAAGGAAAATAGTTTGTGAAATAAAACATACATGTATGTAATTATAATATCTGCCACTAACAGTTATAATTACGGCCAAGTATCCACTTTTTTGTAACTGGGTGAAGGACCGTCGGTTTCAAGATAGTGTCCAAACACTGATTGCCTGCTCAGGGTGTCCACTCACTTTCAGTTTAAAAAATATAGGAATACAGGATTTTTTTCTTAAAAATATAGGAAATTTATAGGATTTGCTATCCATGTTTTGTGCTAATATTTGAGTTTTAAATGCTACATATATATTCATTAACATCATAAAATACCATCCCATGTTGCATGTACTTGTATCACAAATGAAAATGGTAATGAATTAAAAGACTAGTCCATACTGCGTAATCTGAATCTGCATAAACACATGTATATCGACTTTTTCTTGACTTAATTTGGACCAGCTTTTACAGAAATTACAAGATAATCTGGAAGATGTTTGAATAATTATGTTATAAATACTTCAAACTAAAGATTGCTGTGTATAAAGAAGAAATAGATCGAAAATGACATATAACTGTACCATATTGACAATTGTTGAGTAAAGTTACCTACTAGCGGTGTTCTAAGTAGTATATTTAGTTTGATTTATTAGGAATTATCGTTCTATTATTATAAATAATATCTTAGTACATGTATAAGTAAAAACAATAGCTAATTAAACTCAATGTCAAACGTGCAACACCAAACACATGAAATTTGGAAACTTCACCAGTAGTTGTCCGTCGTGTATGAATTCTGCCACAGGTGAAACATGTAAAGTGAATTCTGCTTTATGTATGAAAACACAAAATTCTGACACAGCAAAATTAAAACTGTTATGAGAATAAGGGTTTTGGAGAATATGTTGTTATAGGAAAAACTTATACTAGGCTATGATCGATGGAAAACTTATCATCCACAATCTGAGTGACCCATTTACTGTAACACTATACCATTACGTTGTTATCACTGCACGTGTAGGGAGGTTTGACGCATTGAGGGAAGTTATATGGAGCATGCAACCACGAATCACCCGGACATTGCTATTCAATACAGATCTTTGGTACTGGACGAACCAACAGGGAAGTTACAGTACCAATCAAAACTTCTTCCTGGTGGGAATAGATTTGTATTTGGTGCAGACAGTAATACATGTAGTGTAGTTCATTTGAAACAAGAAGTTAGAACAAATAGTGGAGTATCATTCTTCCCTCCTAGTCACGGAATTTGGAACTTCAAACATTTTTGTAAGTCACTCATTACATCACCATGTTTTGATATTATGATGCAGCACACAGATGTACGTCTGTGAGGTAATAATTCTGCAGTTTTCAAGGTTATGTAACTGGACGTGTCAATTTATGATTAAGTTTAAGTTATCACCACTGAATGCATTACTCAAAAAGGCAAATGGCATTAGGAACAAAATATTTTAACAGCAAGCTAAGATACATTAAAGAAAATTGACACCACATATTGTTAAACAAAATTGTAACCCAATTACAATGTACATGTTGTGTGACAATTACCAGCGTTTAAAACAAAAAACCGAATGTTGTAATAAGCAATATGTAATATCGTGTGACAGCTATATCTATGTGACAATAGGCAAAGAAAGTGACAAAATCGGGACATAATATAGACAAGACTGAACCAAAGTGTAAACAAATATACGTGATTACATCGCAAATACTGTATGGTTAGACCTCAGATTATGCATATGTACAGAGAAGCCTATTCTCAACAGTGGTAAGCTGAACATGTGTATATCATAGTATGTCAGGTATAGACTACCGTTGCGAAGAATGTGTCTATAGGCTTATAGAGACCCCTTTGGGAGGACCTTGACAACATCTCCTGGCCTGTGCAGGTCATTTATTACATGTATAGCTTGCCATTGCAGAAAATGTATCTGGGGGTAAGTGCCTTTGGGACGTCCTGGACAACATCATGTCATGGGGTATACGTAAGGCACTTAGTATTGCACATACACGTACAGCTTACCATTGCGGAGAAATGTCTAGGTTGTGCCCCTTTGGGAGGACCTCAACAACATCTCGTCCTAGGGGAAGGCACAAAATATTACACATACAGCTTACCATTGTGGAGAAATGTTTAGGCTGGGTCCCTTTGAGAGGACCTCAACAACATCTCGTCCTAGGGGAAGGCACTAAATATTACACATACAGCTTACCATTGTGGACAAATGTTTAGGCTGGGACCTCAACAACATCTCGTCCTAGGGGAAGGCACTAAATATTACACATACAGCTTACCATTGTGGAGAAATGTTTAGGCTGGGTCCCTTTGGGAGGACCTCAACAACATCTCGTCCTAGGGTAAGGCACAAAATATTATACATACAGCTTACCATTGCGGAGAAATGTCTAGACACGGTCCCTTCAGGAGGTCATCAACAACATTGCATGTCGTTGGTTTTGGTTATACGTAAGGCACTAAATATAATACAAACAGTCAGCTTACCATTGCTGAGAAATGTCAAGACACGGCCCCTTCGGGAGGTCCTCGACAACATTGCATGTCGTTAGTTATACGTATGGCACTAAATATAACACAAACAGTCAGCTTATCATTGCGGAGAAATGTCTAGACTCGGCCCCTTTGGGAGGTCCTCGATAACAATAAATTTGCATGTCGTTGGGTATACGTAAGTCACTAAATATTAAACATACAGCTTAATTACCATAGTAAAAAAAATATGTCTAAGCACGGACCCTTTGGGAGGACCTCAACAACATCTCGTCCTAGGGGAAGGCACTAAATATTACACATACAGCTTACCATTGCGGAGAATGTATCTAGGTTCTGCCCCTTTGGGAGGACCTCAACAACATCTCGTCCTAGGGGAAGGCAATAAATATTACACATACAACTTACCATTGCGGAGAAGGTGTCTAGGTTCTGCCCCTTTGGTAGGACCTCAACAACATCTCGTCCTACGGTAACGCACCAAATACTACCAATACAGCTTACCATTGCGCAGAAGGTGTCTAGGTTCTGCCCCTTTGGGAGGACCTCAACAACATCTCGTCCTAGGGTAAGGCACTCAATATTACACATACAGCTTACCATTGCGGAGAAGGTGTCTAGGTTCTGCCCCTTTGGGAGGACCTCGACAACATCCCCTGTCCTTTGGCATGGCATACACGTTGACATCTTTCCACGATAATGAGAGTGGCTGTGCAATATCAGCTGCACTGGAACTTTGACGATGGTAACGATTTCCCGTCATAAGGGGTCCATCATATGGCTCGTACAGTAGGTTTTGTCTGTTCCACACAGAAAGTAATACACTTGTAGAAATCTGGGGAATCATAGTGAAACCAATTCCAATTCAACACCCTGTGGTCTGACACATTTGTCAGACTATACACATGTAGATATGATACCAGAATACAGAGATATTATTGCAGCTGTCAATTTCCTTGATATGATAAATTATGGAAAAAATCACTGAATTCGAGCCACGTACATTATACAAAATGTTATACACATAAAAAAGACATCCACCAATTTAATGATAACAAAGGTTATTTTGAAATCTGTCCAATCCAGCACCATATACAATAATGTATTACAGATGTACATCAAAACAGGTCTGATATGGTAGTTTTCATCAGAAATGAGATTAAATTGATTAGACAGGGAGTTAAACACTCAGGGGTCAGATAAGACTAGCATGTCTTTGGGTGTCATTAAAATATTTCAGTAAAACCTAGTTTATATGAGCTCTGATTTCTTGAATGTCAAACTTACTTAATTTATATGTTTTCTAAAGGTTGGCTTTAAACTGTTAAATTTAATTAGCCATTGACCTTTTACTGGGACTTAATTGACTATTCGGGTCACTGACTTGAAAATCAGTAAAAGTCATCAGTTTGGAAATATGTAATATCAAAGTTTTACTTATAAATACACAAGCATTAATATAATTGTATTAATGTACGGACAAATGGGCATTGTGCAAATTCTTAAGGTCCCCCGGGGGCCCTCCCCAAACCGGCAGGAGACTTTTATATCCAGTAATTAAGCATTCACATTATGAGATAGTTACCTGACTCCTGAACCAGAACTGCCAGAACTCTGTGCAAATCTTGTGTCCTTGACGATATGAGAGGTAGTGCTATGGTCATGGTTGGGATCGGGCTGTCCCCCTGTCGTGGTCACATTGACGTAGACTGCCTCTGGATCATCTGGCTGGGTAAGCAAGGGTGTCTTCTCTTCAGTCATCATGTTAAGTACTGAATACACTCGAACACACTGTCAAGGTCACTTTCACAATTGGGATTCGATTCCTATATAAAAAAAAATCAATGACAAATTAAGAATTATGTACAGGACTACACACAGTCACAATAATAGGCTGTAGTTGTAGTAGATCGGTGGACTCCAACATCTCTAATCAACATATTGCTGTGCATTGCAAGGAGTATAGACAAAAATGTCTTCAGTTAAATTCTATATGACCACATGACTATTCAAAATATTATTTGAAATAATATCCTTGTGTTATCAGTTTCCACGCGCTTAAGAAGCAGCCGCGATTTCATACTCATATCGGTACAAAACTGTTGAAATTGCGGGTGACTTTCATAGACATGAACACAATCTACTAATGGAAACAAAAATCTAGCAACATAAAACTGTATTTAAAAAAAATCAGAACAAACATTTTTTTAACAAATTTCTCCCATCTGAAGTAGCCGTCATATGTTTCCGGGGGTCTATTTTGATTTAGTGTTCAAAGAAAGATAACTCAAATACACTAAAAAAAAAAAAACAGTGGCCCACGAATAAATGCTTCGTTTCTAATCGTTTGGTATAAAAAAATAATCCTTGATCGTCAAATTACTAATAAAAAAAAATATTTTTACATTTTTTATTGATTTTTCAAAATGTCAGCTTGAACGAATTCATGTAATTTTAACAATTTTTAAGTCTATTTATTTAGTCATAATAGAACCTGTTAATCTTTTTTTGTGCAGTCTTATATATCAGTTTTAGTTGATAGTAACTTATTTCGCATTTCGTGTTAATGCCATTTTTTTTTTTTTTAAATCACCTTTCAAAAATGAAAGAAATATCCAATTGTTGGTTATTATTAGATTCTAGGTATATTTTTCCATTTCAACAAAATCAGCTGATCTGCATAGGTCAAACATTTGAAGTTTGTGTGTATAGGCTGAAGTTCTGGCAGTACCTTTATGGTTTTCTGACTGAAACTAATATTAAATATATTAATAAAACTAATATTAAATCTACAAAAAGTGTTGCAACTTTTTGACTGTAGTTCATTGTAAAGTAAATAAAGTAAATATATGAATTTAATGGATTTTGTTTCATGCACATTGCGGCAATGAGTAAATGAATACAAATCAATGGCTACTGCTATTCATTGTCGCACTATTATTATGTACAAGAAAAAAAATGCATTTAATCCCTATAATAATGTCTTTTTCGCTCTTCAGATGTGGAAAAAAATTGGCGAGGCGATGTGGCCTCATTAGCATATGACATTTTTTTGTACGTTTGTCAGACTTACTACAAAAAAGATTGGTTCATGAATTAAATATATCACTGGTTTTTTTCAGGCATGGGTTCATTTCGAGCAAGATAAAAAGTGTAATAAGCAAAACTGCATATATATGCATGTTTTTTTATCAGTGATTAATTCTTATGTTTTCCGGACGAACTCCTGGTAATTTTTTGTGTCAGTTTACAGACGATGGCTTAACATCTTTAGAAAATATCCTGATGTATAGTGTCCAGCAAGTTACGTAGTAACATAATATATAGCTTGATTGAATGGCTGCGTGGAAATATACAACACGTGGAAACCTATGACTACATGGTACCCAATACTGAACAAACTTTGCTAAGGTATTTTCAGAAAAAATAGCTATAAGCTTTAGGTAGCTCAATTGGTGAAGTACCTGTCTAGAGTTCATCAGAGGGTCCTGGGTTGGATATCCTGGTCATAGTCCAAGTTTCCTCTGGCCCCGACACCAGACTTAGACATTTTGACAGATAGATCCAGACATCTATATATTTGTCAAAATGTTTTAAGTCTGGTGTTAGGGCCAGAGGAAACTTGGGCTACCCTAGTCAGAGTCAGACCCAAAGAGATATATGCATTGAATCCCCTACTTATACCCGATCACGTTGGCATACTCTGCAAAAATGGCTTTCTCCCAAATTTTTTCTGGGGCTTCAGGACACCCCCCCNCCCCCACATGAAATCAACATACCCACCCACCTTGGAAATTGGGAACCCCCCGATAGGTCTCTGGATCCGCCACTGCATAGTGAGACACCTTACATTCTTGCAACTTGGGCCAACTTTCATTTGATCAGACGATTGATAATTAAGTTGTAAAAAATGAAAAGTTGGATATCATAATTCACAATGCTATGTGAACGGTCAATATTTAGGACAATGTTCGACACGAAGTCTCGCAGTGTCAGTGTAAGTGTAAAATATTGGGTAAAATTGCCATCAACTCAAAACACTAAATGTCCTATACAAGTTGCTATCACACTATCACGTCTTACCAATTTGCATTCCAGAGACAGCACATAAACTATGTTTATCAAAGCCCAATGACACTGTTTCGACACCGTCCATTAGCTGTCACTGTATTTCACTATTTTTTAGAGTTAAGTTCACAGGGCGAAGGTTAGTTTCTGACAGCAGCCGCACCAATCTATATCTGGTAAATGTTTGATTTTTCCCACAACTTCAGTAAAAGCGTTTCCGCTACTGGATTACCAGGAAAAGGGCCTGTTTCAAAAAGTATTTTTTTGTAAAAGATATTTTTCCCCGGAATAACAACCATTACGTCTAGAAATTGCCTTGAATTAAAAGACTTCAATATATCTTAATAAAATTTAACTTCTTGTTGATTCTTACGTGTTTTGATAGGAAAGTCTAAAGTATGACTGATTCGTTCTCGATATCTTCTGTACGAACATAATCATCACATGACGGCGAATCGTATATCACTGCGCACTGTTGGTAACTACAAACATATTAAGGAGTTCATAATCATTTTTTTTTTGTAACTTTTTAAATAATAAGAAAAACACTGAATCATGTTTCTAGAAATATCATAGAGTCATGTGAATCATGTCCATATAAATACAATCATATTCTATAAATACTAGAACTTTATTGTATGCCACCTATCGAAATTTGCAAATCGCCGGATATTACAAAATCTACATTTTACTTCCTATAGATCTGTAAACAGAAAGTTGATCAGTAGGCTACTTAGTAGACGTTTTGAAGACAATCTACAACAATGAAGTGTTTAAATGTACTGTGTGCTGGTACTTTGATCCTGTTAATGGCAGGGGGTTCATATGGGGCGACGACCACTGGGAAACATACTACACAAGTTGCTCCAACGACGGAGGCACCTGCGACGACCCAGAAACACACGGTGGTGACGACCCATCCCCCAGCAAAACAAACTACTGCTGGGACGAACTCTTCCACTATGACACCAGAAGAAGGTATGTATCTGTGAGACAAACAATTTTACGGCTACTCTGTTTGTTTATCGTTTATAATTCTCGAAATCCAAAAATTGCAAATGGCTGATCAGGTTGGGCATAACGGCGCATATGGGTAATATAATCCTGCATTTGGGTAACATCTTTGTATGTTATGGTTGAATGCACTTCGAATCTACTTTCACTATCCTATATAAAAAAAAAATCAAAATTTTGTACTTCAGTATCTTTATTAAAAATCGCTATTTATATGGTTATTATAAACAACTTTTGGTTGAACGTTTTTTGGTGTTTTGACATTTTCGTGATTTGAGATGTCCCGACTTTTCTAAGGCTTCAAAGGTCGTGAAATACTTTCAAAACCGAAAACTGTTCAACCAAAAGTTGTTTGTAATAACCAATAGATATGGCGATTTTCAATAACGTAAGTGAAGTACAAAATTTTGATTTTTTATATAGGATAGTGAAAGTAGATTTGAAGTGCATACCCAAATGCAGGATTATTACCCATATGCGCCGTTGTGCCCTACCTGTTGATGGCTACACTTTTAGAGACGACTATATATAGCATTATAAACATAAACAGTCGTCAACTCGCTCAGTCACTGGTTCTCATTCCATGGTGATGGTCATAGCAGCTTTTACTACTGTCAGTGTTTTTACTACTGTCAGTGTTTTGAAGATTATTTATTGAGATGGATTGTTACGAGATCACATTCCCTTAATTTAAGATTGATTACTTCTTCATAGCATTATTATGCCCTTTTAGAAATCTGAGTCAATACCCATATTATTAATGTAGACCAGTCCATGATCAATATCTATGTTACTGTTGATCATGATTATGAGGAGTCATTTCAATCCGTCAATATCCATGTTTATCATTATCATGATGAGTCATGGTAATCAATCAGAATATATCCATATTATTCCCAATGTTGATCATTCTACATTGTATATAATATCATGATGATGAGTCATAACTAATAATCAGGACATCATGTATGTATCACTCACTCATAATCACAGGTGTTCAGGTTCTGGAATATAATTGTGATATATTTAGGTATTTCACATCTCTATATACCGGGTTAGACACTAACTTTTTTTGCTTGGTAGTCCACAGGACTAGTTGAATAGATTATTTACTAGTCCTTAGCTTATATATATGTGGTCATGTATCTAGTCCAAGATTTCCTGATAAGGAAACATTGTGATCTACAGCACGAAACATCTCAAGTAGGGGACAGTCCCATGGACAATTATCATGCTATATATCTTATTTTAAGCAGTTTTCTAAATTTAAAAAAAGGAGTATTCTTATTTTATACCGGTAATCATATTTTTCACAAGTCCAAAGAACCAGTTAGGTTAGGTGATTCACTAGTCCTTGCTGAAATCTACTAGTCCAGGTCTGGTGTTATTGTCAACCCCTGTATATAGCCCGAGTTTCCTTTGGTCCTGATCTATGACAGTACTGCAGACTTACACATTTTGAATGATAGATGTCGGGGATGTGGCCAAAGTGAATGATAGATGTCGGGGATGGGGCCAAAGCGCACTCTCCGACACAAACTGTTTGGAAAAGTTTTGAGTGCTGGCAGCATAAATCTGCTATGATTCCTTACATATATTGATATATGGTGTATTTTTTTTATCTATCCAAAACCGTCCTGGGCAACACGAGTGGAATTGACAGGCTAAATCGAATGCACATGAATATTACATGACACATTGACACTAACAATAAAAAAAAGTAACATGCATGGAAAGCTTCAATATATAGCCATATTGGAAAGTGCAGTTTCCAACATCAGATCAGCAAGGATAGCCTCATAAGGCAATGAATATACATAATGATAGTTCGTTATATTAAAAACATAAGAAATGATCAAGATTACTTAAATATGTGTTATTTTAATGTTTCTTGGAAAAGTAAATATTGGAGCTGAAATTAAAGCTATGAGGTGGTATGCGATCTATATTGTATCGGCAAAGTCGGTGAAGTAGACTGGATATATACATCTTATCAATTGATTCCTAGAAATTCATATGCGCTTTTTCAATTTAATTTATTTTTATCATGACGCTTTATTTTTATCATGATGCTTGTATTTGTAGAGTGTCAGTCAAAAAGCAGTGGATGTCATGCCTGTTTGAATATGACTCAAGTAAGATTTAAATCACAGTTTTATACAGCATGGCTATCTGTGTATTTGTGATCAATTCAGGGTGTTTTTCTGTGCAAATTACAGGCCAAATTTGGGCCCATTCTCGGCGGAAAAGAGTGTCATTTTCCCCCCAATTCTCTTAAAAGTGTGAATTAAAGAAACGTTTTTTTCACAATATAATTATATTCCAATCTATACCTCTTTTCAATGTAATTCACTGGTGATACATGTGTATTTCAACATAAGATCTAATAACCCTGTTATACTGGTGTACGTGTTATACAAGTTCCTTTACTCTGTTTTAGTGCTTGTGGTGCAAGTCCAAGAACACCTGTCTGTTATACCCAACTGGCGACATCCTCCCTCACGCCTCCCTTTGTCCGTTGGAAGATGCTCGCTGGGGAGTGTGTTGGGGTAAGTTCTAAAAACTAGCAGCATCATGATTGCTTGTTATAAATATATAGTGCCAACATAATGGCCCAGGGAGGTTATCAATGCTCCCGGTAATATAAGATTTGCAAGTCAGATCTGACATGCACAGCTTCCTTTTCAATTAGTTACATATAATATCATTATAATGAAATGGAATTATCTAAGTATTCATAATGGATGATTCTATTGAATGTTTGATTTATATCTCCCCCTTGAAATGAAGGGAGAGATATTGTATTAGTGCTGGTTCTTCTTTTCTTACGATATATACTAGATCTGTAACTTTTAATCTATAAGTTTACCTCTCCATCGCTGATGTGTGCAGTGCTGTAATTTGGTCTTTCCACCCAAATCTTGTACATGTGTGGGCCATAACTTTAAACTTTGAAGGTTATCTTTATGAGACTGAAGTATAACTCAATGATTCACTTAACTTAGTTAGATCATTCACTGTGACCTTGGTCTCAATGTTAATGTTCATGATGATTATGGCGCTTAACTCTGGGTCAAATAAGTACAAAATTTCCAATGACATTTTCCTGTTCCATAACTTCTAAACTGTTTAAGATGAAATCTGAAGTACCTAAGACTGCAAAAGAAGGTGTGTGGTACATTCTAAAAAAATAATGATGATTTTGACCTTTACCTCATGGTCAAATATGTACAAAATTTCCAATGAAAGTTTGCAATTGTCCAGGCCGTTAACATAAATTTCACCAATTGAAAAAATATTTTGACGAAACTTGAAAGATACATACATTACCCACAGAAGATGTGAAGTGCAGAATATTTCGGTCACTGTAACCTTCATCTCCAGGTCAAAGATCCAATCAGAGCAAAGCACATGTATACACATATATATGGACTGATAAAAAATAATTAAGGGGAGACAAATGTTGTTTTCACAAAAAGACATATCTCTAGTTTAGATCTTTTCTGATTTCATAGTATAATTTAGAAGCATCACTGCCATCTGATATATACTATTAAAACTTTATAATAATAATAATAATTTGAGGTTCTTATATATATACCGCTTTGTCACAACCTAGTTCATACATTGTACATTTGTAGGTCGTCTCAAAGCAGTTCACAAATTATTATCCGTGGCTATAGGGCCTTTGCAACCAGCCAATATCTTTCTCAACTCCCTGTGGAGGATACAGCCAGTGCTGCCATTTTGACACTCATAGCTAGCATTGAACAATTCTAGCACTGCCCAACCATGTACTCATTTACAGCTGAGTAGACTGGAACAAGCGGAGTAAAGTATATATCTTGCTCAAAGATACAACACCGTGTCATGACATGACTCCAACCCGCAACCTTTCAGTCACGAGCCCGGTGTCCTACCACTAGACTGCCGTGCCTTCTAACTTTATTATGTAGTCATATATCATTTTTCAACCCATACAATACCAGAATATTATATTACATCTGATATATGACAGTTTCATATTTTACTTTTCAGTTAACTTCAAAGTGCTGATCATTGTGATGGGGTGTATTGGAGGCCTCATATTCTTAGTGATCACCATCTGCATCTGTAAGTGCTGCTGCTGCAAGAAGAACAATTCAGCCAGGTAAATATATAACACAATTTTTTTTTAAAATAAGTTACGAAATTGTTACATATGTTAAAGATATATATCCATAATGATATCATACAGTCGTTATTCCTTCTTTTTGAAAACGCCCCCAGGGGCGGAGGGTTGAGACCCAAATGTGTCAAATTGGCTTGAATTTCACCAATCTTCTCCACACTCGGATACAATGGAAGCAAATACTTTTCATTATTGTAAGGTCTTCAGGTGCTTTGTCAAAATTGTGAATTTCATTACCCCCATGCTCCACGTTTACATATTATATAGGAAAAGGATACTTGATCGGAAGTAAACTTGATTGGAATTATAAACCTAAGATGACAGTTTGTTACTATGAAACACGTGCACAAGAGCTAAAGGGCAGGCCCCAAAGTGTTAAAAGGTGGTTTATAAAATTTAGAGTTTTATCACTTCCATACATGTATTGTTTTTATTGAGTACCCAATGCTCCTTTTTGTAAGAATTTTTCATTTGTTTCATTCTGAAAGAAATACTTTTTCTTTCTTATTTTGTCACAAAACTGTTGTACCTTTTGTGTAATGATCTTACATTTGTTTACTTAATTAACACAATTCATATATCAAAACCTTTCGATGGCTCTCCACATCATAAGAAACATTCAAGTTACTGTATATGTTAGAGAGTGTCCAATCGCCCAGTAAGGATTTTGCATTAGATTACTTCATCAATATATGTGTATCATAAATCCTTCAAAATAAAACTTTCCATATACAAATGTAACTCCATAGCAAAATAAAGTCAGAGGTGCAAGTAAACTCACGATCACTGATCTTTATGAGAAGAGTTGAGGTCTTTCTAAAAAAAAAATGGCATGGAAACCAGATAACAGAATTGCAATTTAAGATATTTTTTTTACTTCTTTTATTTTTTTCTATTTTGCAATTAACAAGAGTTTTGTTTTTCATGCTTGTTCAAAAGTAAGAAATATTTAATTTTGCACAGTCTTATAATACAGTGATGTCACTAGATTTAATTACCAGTTTGGGTTCAATGTCACTTTTACCATTGTTTCTAGCTATGCTAAAGATGAGGCTAAAGAAGACAGAAGAAAGGCGGACCGTAAGGCCAAGAGTGATGAAAGGTTAGTTTTTGTAATTTTGATATGGTACGATATGAAGTTGTGTCTCCATTAAAAGTTTTTCGATTCAACAATTTTTCCAAGAGTTATTGCCCTTTGTTCATTTCAGTATTTCATTTTTTTTTGTCCGGAGATCTCCTCCTACATTTTTTGACGGATTTCTTTGAAACTTAGTAGGCTAGATAATCATGATATGTTGTTGTGTTTCCTTGAAAAGAATTTTGATTCAATTATTTTTGCAAAAGTTATTGCCCTTTGTTCATTTCAGTATTTGATTTTTGTCCAGCAATCTCTCCTCCTACATTTTTCAACAGATCTCTTTGAAACTTGGTATACATTATAATCATGATATGAAGTTGCGTCTCCCTTAAAAGAATTCTGATTCAAAAGTTATTGCCCTTTGTTCATTTCAGTATTTGATTTTTTGTCTGGCGATTTTCTCCTACATTTTTTATAGCATGTCAGCTAGCCACTCTTAGAATGATGCAGATCTTATTTCAATGTAAGAAAGTATATAGCACTATATGGCATTCGATGGGCGTATATTGTTCCGCCCCGCGGTACTCTTGTTGGTATTCATTATAAGGCCCATTAAATAATAAGTATTACCCTCCCTTCCTTATGACTTGAGTTCTATGGGGTAGACTTTCTCTATAGTTTGTGGGAGTGATATAAAGGCAGCATAAAATGATATTAAAATACCTCAATTTATGTTGAGTTCATAAGATCAATTCGAGAAGGAAATTCGTTTTTTTACACTACTTAAACCTGTACATGTTGTATTTAGGAGAGCCGATAGGAAGACCAAGACAGATGAAATCAGGAGAAAGTATGGTAAGTTGATTAACACTGCTTAATTATTATCATTGTGTGCAAGTATATGTATACTCAAAATAAAAAAAATGCTATCCCTGAAACCCTAGGCCTGACTGAAGAGAATGAAATTTTTAGATTTTGAAAGAAATATTGAATGAGTTAATTTATAACTGATCATTGATGGTGAAATCTTAAGTGATTCCTACCAATAATTCCTGTAGAATATTCTTGATTTGTGATGTTCCTTGTACTTAATTAATGAAATCCTCTATTTATGCATTGATTATTTGTTTCGTTGTGATTGCCTCCCTTGGCATCAGGAATTGGTTTCAAAGGTAAGATTTTGACAGCTGGAACGGGAAACTCAACCCAAGTATACTTTAGTTAGATTTTGTGGTTTTCACCTTTCATTTTTGAATTTATTCATCTTGTTATTTATTCTTTAATTTCAAACTTTTATTTTTTTGTTTGTGTGTGTGATAAAGGAATGGATATATCATTTTTTGTGAACTGAAGAATAGACAAAAAACAGATTTGTATTTTTTATTTTAACTTCTCAATATAATTATGACATAATTTAAAAATATTTTCAGTTGTACATCATGTATACAAAATTTAAACTTTTCATTTTTTTTTATCTGTGGTTGTCTTTCAGCATGTATTTCTGTAATGGAGATTAAGTTGAAGTGATTTCAAATATATACTCTCTTTTGATATTTCATATTTTAAGCATTTATTGATAACTTGGTGTACATTTGGGTGTGTTATAATTGATTGTTATGCACTTGAACAGCTCAATGTGTTACACTATTTAGTGGTAGACTATATAAATCAAAACATATATTTGGTCCCCTGTCTCATTGTTAAACATATCTGTCCCATATTTGGCCGCAATGGGCCAGTTCTAAATCGAGATGAAGGGGCTAAAAGACCCAAGTATTAAACAAAGGGTAGCTGAATCGAGTCATTTCTGTACGTACATATACAACAACTATTGAACATACGCTTGCAGCGAAGCCGAATCGACATCGATTTTGTGGACAACTCATACACATTTTACACCTTTATGTGCATACGCTTCACTGGTCATTTGTCTGATGAAGGTGACAGTGCACATATCCTACTAGGCAATCTTTATTGGTTGTGTAAAAAGAACTTTTCATAATCCATACTTGTCCCAGAATAATATAAACATTCAATCGGTACATAAAGGTGCCCATTCCAGTTTATCTGGGTTCGTAATTTCACTTGATCTTCTCTACTTGTATATATAACTGTATTGATACTGAACAGATCAATGGTGTTTCCTTTAACCCTTTCACCCCTATGTAACTTTAGTAGAACCTACCATGCATTGATCTGGATGAGTCCATTATGGTTAAAAGTGGTGAAAGGGTTAAGTATATTTGGAATAAGCAATTCATAACATATGCTGGTTTTCCTCTGTGGATGATTTTCCTCAAAGAAAAGTAATAAACTCCTTCGAAGGTGCTGTAAAACCTCCAGATAGTTTATTGTTTACAATGCACACAACATTAAAAATGACTTTAAATGAAATTCTCAACATGACTAGTACTGTCAAGGCCTACACCGAGGAACTTGCTGCCCCTTGTACTTTATGCCTTGTAAGAAACAGGTGTTTTCGAAAAACTGTGTATGTTTCAAATACTACATTTCGTATAAAGATCAACTGTTAACTTGTTTACATACAAATACAGATGAACATGAAATCTATATAATATACAGTTAATTAAATCTTGATATATTGTCCCTCGTTTCATTTGTCACTTCGCTTACTGCAAACATATTTCTATGTTCTTTTTTTTTTTGTTTTCTTAAGAATTCCTTAATACGTTTCACTCTGTTTATTGCCAAACCCCTTTATAATGCCGAAATTTCTCTTGAGAAATGGTTGCAGTATAGCAAGGTTTTACAGCTGTTTATAGAAAAAAATAAGATATAAAGAACGACTTTAAAACTATTAGCTATTTTTTCTATACTTTCCCACTTAACATGGTCATATAATGTTTTTAATTATATACACAAATATACCAGGTTTATTCAAAGTGATGAATCTATTCAGAACAAAAACATTTTCTCCAGAAATGTTTTGACTAGGTGCCAGCTGCCTAATGTTGTTAAATTTGTTTCTGAAAATGTGAAGTGTTTTAGCTTCTTTTGTTCAAATGTTTGGTAAAAAAGTGTTTTAACTTCTTTTGTTAAAGTTTTCAGTAAAAAAACATGTTGAACTATATACTTATGCATCATGAACTACTGTATATACTGATGCATCAACCCTACATATTTGTATGTGTTTAATTAAAATCTCTACCAGTTGGTCAACTTTGTTGGTAATTATTACATTACAAAATTGCGATTCTTTTAGGAAAAAATTTGTGTGTTTAATTAAAATCCCTACCAGTTGGTCAACTTTGTTGGTAATTATTACATTACAATTTTATTTTTTTGACAAGGTACTTATTACTGTTGTTTATGTTTTTCTTTATAATTTTCTGACATCTCTGTATTTTGTCTTCCTGTGCAGGTCTTATCAAGGAGGACAACCCCTACTCAAGATTTGATGCTTAAACTCCCCGGAACTGACCATAAATCAAGTCCAGATACATGTGCCATGCAGTCTATTTTTGATACATTGTACTTGTACATTATACAAAAAGTATATGTGCATCAGATGGTCAAAGTGAATTTAATTTTCAACTTTTGAATTTTGTGAAAGGTTTAAAGACGGATTGAAATTTGAATTAGTCAAAAAGTTATTATGGTTTGTTCATTACCAGTGAAAAATAGGTATTTTCTATTAGGAAAGATTCAAAACGGGATAAAATTTGTTCTCAGATGTAGAAAGTGTAATATGAGATACATTGGAAGAGTATAATTATGAATTTCAGTTCACGAGATAGAAAACAAAGTACCCTGAATACGTTAACAAGGTACTGTGTATTAGGAAAGTGTGTTTTCCGCTTTAATGTAGGTGTTTCAGCTATACAGTGTAACCTTTCTAATCTGACACCCTGTACAATACAACTGTAAGATAAGACTTGATATAAAAATACACACGTATATTTTATATAGTTTCAATTAGAAATGACATAACAGCATTATCAGGGGAGGGATTAGACAGGGGGTAGGGTAGACAGGGGACGGGGTAGGCAGGGGATGGGGTAGACAGGGGACGGGGTAGACAGGTTCACATGTGTAGGGTTTGAATCTGTAAGCTTAGTGATCAGTACATAAGACGTCCATGATATATGTGTCTATTTTTTGGCGAAATATTTTAAATTCTTAATCACACATAAGAAGATGATAGAAAAATTGTTGATATTAAAAAATATAATGTAACTGTATACAAATTATATAAAATTTCAAGACAGTTCCATGTACAAACCTGTACATGCATTTGAAAACAGTGATCCATGGTGATGTTTAGGCCTAGTTGGTTTAATAACTGATGTATGTCATACAGAGATATCAGTATACATGCTAATGAACTTACATGTGACAAAGAGAGCTCTATGTTATATAAGTGTCAAGACTAACACTATGAATACACACAAGCCAATGAGCTATGGTTTAAAAGTCCAGACTAACAATATATTTTATATATATATATATATATATAGGCCAATGACCTATGGTTTAAAAGTTCACTCTAACAATATATATTATATATATATAGGCCAATGAGCTATGGTTTAAAAGTCCAGACTAACAGTATATATACACTGGCCAATGAGCTATGATTTACGAGTCCAGACTAACAATATATACACAGGCCAAGGAGCTATGGTTTACGAGTCCAGACTAACAATATATACACAGACCAATGAGCTATGATTTACGAGTCCAGACTAACAATATATACACAGGCCAATGCGCTATGGTTTACAAATCCAGACTAACAATACCATATATAGGCCAAGGAGCTTTGGCATCCAGGAGTCCAAGATACTTCTGTGCAGTGTATTACAGAATATTGTGTTTGGATGTTCAGAATAAGATTACATGTATTCCTGTCACTGTACCAAAATTCCATCTTACACTGTTATTGTAATGGATCAATGTCACGTGATACACATTTTGTTTTCCTTGTAGTAAGTTCCATTGTTTTGTACAGTGTTTTTTTGGGAACAAGTTATTCGAAAAATTCATGTATGGTATTGAATGTTGGGAATACCATGCATTCTTGTTATTGTTTGCATCACTTACTTAAAAACCTTAACTGTTTTTTTTGTGTTTTTGTGTTTTTTAAGTGTTATTCAAACACTGTTGAATCCTGGCTCCTTCAATTAGATTTTTTAAACATTAAACAACAACATGTTTTCCTCCTGATATGAATATGTCCGTTGATAAATGTCTACATAGCTGTATATATGTATGGCATGAATTTTATATTCACATTCCTAATTTAGTGTCTTTTGCGAGAGTAATGCAAGCCTTCTTCAAACCGTGTGATTAGATTGTGACACCATCCATTGTTGCAGCTGATGTGCATCCATATTTGAAAACGAAAATGGTCTAATTTTGTATTTATTCTAAATAACCGGGTACATCAGGCAAACAAAGAGATGTATTAGCATCTTGAGTACAATAGTTTATGATAAAAACGTAGATCAATGGTACAATCTGACGTAACATTGATCATTCTAATCAAGTAACAAACTCAAGTCACAAATTCATTAACGTGCAAATTCTTGTTTCCCCACAAAATGTAAATAACACTGCACATGGCTTTATACCACTCATTGCATAACCTTGTTTAATGACGAGTTAAAAAAAAAAAAGTTCGGTGTTTTTTTCATCAAATCTGTGTTAAGCTGACTTGCCTTTATTTTATTGGTTTTATTGGTGTGCTTACAAACATTTTTTCATAATTTAACATTTAACTATTCTTACAAGTGTATGTCAAGTTAAGTATCATTCCATAACATTCAATAACACACCTAGTGACTGTAAGCAGACTCTCATTCCCACGCTTTGTTAACTTGTGTTTTATCTTTAGTTTTTCACAGTTGCAGTACCCAACAGTCCAGTCTCCATTTTATTAAATGTGAAATTATTTACCATTTCTCTTATTGGATTCGTTATTATTATTTTTTCTCTCTTTTTTTCGTGTAACCGAAATATGGAAATTTAGTACAAATATGTATTTATGCAGGGTGCAGAGAAACTGACCTGGAATAATTTTGAATGATTCCCGTGTGTAGTGAGATGTTCTGACAAGATTACGTATCCTTGAAAATTCATCAAATCTACATAACTGTCTAAAACATTCAAAAATAATTAATTTCTGAAATATATTTAAAACAATAAATTCTGTTTTAATCATATTGTTTTGTGCAATTACAACATTTTTTTGTCTCCCTTTCAAAGGTATTAAATCACATTGTACATTTTCATCATCATCTCGATGTGTTATCATTTGCTATATTTATTCCGAGTTTTTGTAATCATTGTTTTGCTCCTGTGTAAGAAGTGTACCAATACTGTTTTGAAGCATTGAATAACATTTTAATGATACTCTGCAAACATACCAATTTTGGTGCTTATCATATTTTAGCACTTTTCTTACGATTTCAAAAATTTAAATATTTATTAACACCTGCTAAATGAATAATTGTGGTTTTCCTGCATGTTTAATTAGCGAATAGGTAGGTAACTTTACCAGTTAATCACAAATATGCAAAATATGAATGTGCTAAAATAAAATGTATGTTCACAGTAAATGTGATAGCCCGAGTTTCCTCATGCCCTGACACCAGACCTGGACATTTTCACAGACACCCAGACATTCTTAGTATCAAATTTAATTTGAGTAAAGTAGCAGTCATATTTTGGATGCAAATTCTCGATAAATAATTTTCCCACAATTCTTAGCGGTTAGCAACATGACGTACTTTATGACATAAAATTACCAGAAAAATTTCATCATCAAGAACCAGAGTGATGTATCATAACACCTTGGGTCTGTTGTCATTATTTGAGATTTTAAATGAGAAAAAATTGAAACTGTCCTTGCTCCACCACTGATTTCTACATATTTTTTTATCATGGAACATATTGTAGAATGTGACAATGTCATTCAGGACCCAGAACTAGTGCATGTCATTTCGGTGATGTAAAGCAATAGCTATATTGTCAGGTTGTGATTTTGTTACTAATTATTTTTTTGCCAAAGATATATATTTGTACAAAGCTTATTTTATTTGAAAAGAAAATGAAATAAAATCATTCTATAATGCTTTATTTTTTTTATTGTTTTCATCATTATGCATTGTACTACTCTCTCACTCACTGTCAATGAAATATTAAAATTTCACTAGATATGTATTTGTATTTAAATTCGCTTAGTATAGATTCCGTCAGAGAGAGAAGTTTATTTGGTGCTGCATACGACTTCCATGCATTATTCGATACAGATTCTAATAAAACTGCTCTGCCGGAGTCCGTACCATATATAGAATTACTGTGACGGAAGCCATTACCACGAGTATGGGATTAGCCCTGTATATCCGGTGTTTTAAATTGTATTGCAGAAAAAACCGAGAGCAGGATTTAACTTTGTCATCTTTTGGGAAATGAGTATCATACAATCTCACATTCTAGAAAGGTGTCTTCTCGTCACCGAATACGTGCTTTATTTTGAAATCGATTGATTGATAGGTTTTACGTCCGCTTCACTACCGGATGTATCGATTATCCAGCAGATGAAATCGAGGCAGATACTACCTTTTATACTACACGTGGCTTATTCATTCGGAATACCCTTTCGTCATATGCTAGCAAAGGCGAGGTGTTCCAAATGGTGGCTTATTTAGAGCGGAATCCTTGCATTTCGAGGATGACAATTAAGCAATGAATGTTGTAGCAAATGTTATGGTCCTATACCACACATTGTTATCGATGACAAACTTAATAAAACCCGGCAGTGATGTGTGTTATAGGACCATAACAATATTTGCTAAACTATTCGTTACTTATATTTACATTTTGATAGAGTAGTTATGCTTTATTTAGTTATTTTGAACAGCAAATGAAATGTTGAAATTAATAAAATTGATTACGTCACAAAAGAGGTTGATGATGGACGTTACAATAGCAAATGTTGTTATAGTCTCACAACAACACTTGCCTTCTCAATGCATTGTAATGGAAGGATGCAGAGCAAATGTAAATACTCTTTCAAATAAACATAAAACATATGATGTTAAAGAGATATCTAGTTTGCTTAATATGACTCATTAGTATATGTAGTTTTTCGTCTAGGTCTGAAATTGCTGATGCATTTGCAAAAAACATAGCTAAAAACTCATCCCCTTTAAACCACACCCGAAAACTCCAGTCTTCAAAGAAAAAAAGAGAAAAGACACGGCTCAATTTCAAATCATCAAACAACGAAAGTTATAATGAGCAATTTACCCTACCAGAACTTGTTGATTCGCTTCGAAAATCACAGGACTCTGCTTCAGGTCCTGATGATATTCCATATCAATTTCTAAAGCACTTACCGGACTCGTCACTAACATGCCTTCTTTACATATTCAACCAAGTTTACGCTTCCGGAAAGATTCCGATTCGTGGAAGAACTCGACAATTATTCCTATCCCAAAACCGGGAAAGGATGCTACTGACCCAAACAACTATCGTCCTATCTCTCTGACTAGTTGTGTATGTAAAACTTTAGAACGAATGATAAACACAAGATTGGTTTGGTTTCTTGAGGCCAACGATATAATATCCCCTCTTCAAAGTGGTTTTAGAAATAGAAGAGGGACAAATGACCATCTCATCAGATTAGAGACATTCATTAGAGAGACTTTCGCTAAGAAGGAACACCTTGTCGCCGTGTTCTTTGATCTTGAGAAGGCCTATGATACTACATGGCAGTATGACATCATGAAAGATCTTCACGACCTTGGAGTACGCGGAAACCTTCCCAATTTTATATCTAATTACCTATCAGATAGACACTCCAAAGTCCGTGTTGGTTCAACTTTTTCTGAAACGTCTAAACAGAAAATGGGATTTCCACAGGGTGGAATCCTATCAGTCACCCTGTTTGGCCTTAAAATCAATGTTATAGTCAAATGTCTTGGTCAATCAACAGAAGGGTCGTTATTTGTGGATGACTTTCTGATCTGTTACAGATCTAAGAACATGCACACGATAGAACGACAACTTCAACAGAGTTTAAACAAACTACAAAATTGGGCAGACGAAAACGGCTTCAAATTCTCTAAATCTAAAACTGTGTGCATGCATTTGTGTCAAAAACGAAAAGCACACAATGACACAAATCTTACACTCGATGGCACTAGAATTCCTGTTGTTGAACAGACTAAATTTCTCGGCCTCATTTTTGATTCGAAACTCTCTTTCATACCACATATTAAGTATCTGAAGGATAAGTGTTCCAAAGCGTTAAACATTATACGAGTCCGTGAAATGTTTTTGCGCCTATACAGATCTCTTATTCGAACAAAACTAGATTATGGTGGTCGGCGCGCAGTTCGTACCTGCAGATGCTAGACCCAATCCATAACCAAGGGCTACGTCTAGCCCTTAGAGCTTTTCGAATAACACCTGTAAAAAGCCTGTACGTGGAAGCAAATGAACCATCCCTTTATGACAGAAGAAAAAACTTGCATTACAGTTTGCAGCTCAATTAAAATCAAATCCTAAAAATCCTGCTTTCGACCAAGTATTCAACCCGAAATACCAAAACATATTTACGCAAAACCAAAAGCTTCTGCCAACATTTGGCATCCGAATTTCAAATTTCCTGCAAGAACTCAACATAAAGTTGACGGACATAGCTGAATTTAACATATCTGATGTTCCTCCGTGGACCATTCAAACACCTGATTTTAACTTTACATTACATGAGCGAGGGAAATCAAGTGTTATGCCCGAAGAACACTAATCCTCCTTTCGGGAATGCATTTCGAATTACCATTCTCATACACAACTTTACACCGATGGTTCCAAAGAAGGTGAGAAAGTGGCAGCAGCCTGATGTACTGCTAATTCTTGCACCTCAGTCCGACTACCAGACGGCGCCTCCATCTTTTCTGCCGAAGCATGCGCCATTGGTTTGGCCCTCGACCATATCGATGAATACCGCATTAAAAAGGCAATCATAATTATGTTCAGACTCTCTATCTGTTCTACAGAGTTAACAGTTACGAGATCCTAAAAACACACTCATACAAAACCTTGCTCTTCGAATATCTCGTATCTGAAATAAATCAAAGATAACTGTACTATGGATTCCGAGCCATGTCGGAATTAAAGGCAACGAATGTGTTGACAGGGAAGCAAAAAATGCATTAAAGGTCCAACAAACAAATATCAAACTACCATACATAGATTTTAAACCTACTATTCGTACAGCCATTCAAAATGAATGGCAGCAACGCTGGTCTCTCGAGACCACCAACAAACTTGTTAAGGTATAACCGAAACTTAAAACATCTATTCCCAGTCGGAAAGATCGTAGAGAGGAGGTTGTCCTCGCTCGGCTTCGCACTAGACACACATATCCTACTCATTCGTACCTTTTAAAACGAGAAAATCTACCTTCATGCCACGCATGTGACACTCCATTTATAGTGGAACATTTTTTAATAGAATGTTCCGATTTTAAACACATTCGTGATAACTACTCTCGAGTCCCGGATATGAAAACTCTTTTCAGTTTCGTGGACTCGAAGGCATTATTTAACTACTTGAAAGACATCGGTCTATTCTATAGACTCTGATGTCTTTTAACTCACCTTACCTTTTTTGACGTTTTTTTTATATCGCATATCATCTATTCGTTATCTCTTTTATTATTTTAACCCCCTTTTTATTTTTAATTATCTACACATACAATGCGAATGCTTTTAAAATGAACCATTTTATCTGATTTTATCTTCGCTATTCAAATGTTTATTAATAAAAAAAAAAGTCACCATGGCCCAAAATGACCACAGCCGTCGATGGGCCGTTACACATAAACAAACAAACAAACAAACTAGTTTGACATATATAAAAGATATTTGAGAAGGGGTGATATACATGTAGTTGAAGGAGATAATACGATTGTATCAGGTATATTAATTAGATATCCCTGAACAATATATTAAACATTAAACGTATTAAACTTTCTAAAGTATTGTTTTGCAGAGATAGACAGAAATTTGGAGGAAATATTGTGGCGTACATGCATGAGTCTCTGAGTTACCGTAAACACGGCGACTTTCCTTACACGCGTAATAATAATAATAATTCGAGGTTCTTTATCGCAACCTAGTTCGTAGGTCGTCTGAAAGCGGTTCACACATTATTATCCGGGGTTATAGGGCCCTTTGCAACCAGCCAATACCTTTTTTCAACTCCATGGGGAGCATACAGCCGGAGCTGCCATTTCGGCGCTTACAGCTAGCATTCAACAATGCTAGCACTGCCCAACCACGTACTCATTAACAGCTGATCATGAGTAGACTGGAACAAGCGGAGTAAAGTATCATGCTCAAAGATACAACGCAGTGCCGTGCCGTGACTCGAACTCACAACCCTTCGGTCACGAGCCCGGCGTCCTACCACTGGACTGTCGTGTCTCCTTAACTATGGTCAAGGAAAAAAACAATGGTAATTGCGACAATTGGTGTTTAGAAAATCACATCACAAACTCATTATAAAAAAACAACCTCATAAAAGCAGCAACACACATGACGAAAGCAAATGTTATTGCCTGACGAGTACCAATATAACTAGTATTGGTACACTCGACAAATACTACCTACCAGAATCAGACGTCCAAAGAAACCCAAGCCCCGCGCGCGCGGAGTCAATACTTGGTGTTAACAGCTTATATTGGTAAAAAGCTTTCACACAGTTAAGCACGTGCTCTCTCTGTAAACCACTTAATGAACCGCCAAACATTTAAACCATTGGCAAGTCCACCAGGAAATAGGCCCATTTGAAATCTCCTAAGAATAATTAGTATTATAGTTTGGACACATTGTTGATTTGTTTGTATTTATTTACTTTAGTTAAAGGTCAAATAACTTATAAGTCAGCCTTTCCGGCCAACCCTGTTTTGATAGATCCATACACACACGTCCAAATTTCATGACGTCATGTTTTCTTCGACTGAGTTGCCTGTCTTGATTTTTCTGCTCGCCATTTATCAAAGAGTTGAGCAAAGAGTAAAGACAATGTACTGGAGCAGGAAATTCAGTTGAGTGATTTCCTGTGCTTTAAACTCTTCCAAGACCTCAGATGTTAGTGTCATTTCATGGTAGTTCGGTATGACCTCATCTTGCGACATTTTTGCAAGTAAAAAAGAAGTCGTGTTTGCACATTTCAAGTTGACTGCCCAAGTTATACATCAAATACAGTAAGGATTGTCAGTGGCGTATCAATTCGTTTTTCGGAGTGTATGCTTAAAGAGGGTCGAGTGTCCGTGGCACATAGCGCCAGAGGAGGGCCCTAGAAGCAATCTCCCGTGTGCTGGGAACTCCTTTTAGACTGATTATTAACAAGTAAAACCCGACTTTTCATACCAATAATATTTAACATTGTTCTTCACTTAAGTAGTTTTTAATTTACGTTAACCTTTAAGCCGATTTGTCAATGTGTTAGACATAATTCACAACAACAATGCTGTTGCAGTGCCATCAATCTATAGATGTCGTCATCTTGACAACTTTGACGCAAATTAACTTGTTTGTAGAGAGATGACACAACTGATCGATTTACTAAACTACAGCCATTGAAAATATCTGATTAGGCAATATAACCTACAACAAACAAAACCCATTCGGTAACTTGGAATATACCGACATGGTTAGCACAACTCCTTGTTCAAGAAAGCCTTCACTCCACAACTTAACGGACATTGGGTAGTTTTCGTGAACAGAAGCACTTAACTTAATTAATTAATTTAGTTAATAGGATGACGTGATAAAGTATTTTTCGAAATCTATTACACTAAACATGAACTGAGACCAGCATCCGTTCTATTTGACCAGTAATACGTGTTTGGAAGTTAAAGTCATTGTTACAAAGAATTCCGTTTCATGGCTTGTTTTGAAAGTGTTGTGCGCATTTGCAATATTTTATAAAAAGTTTTCAAAGAATACCACAGTCTGACTCGATCCCGCCATGGACATCAGAAATCTAAACGCTGACTGTGTTACACTTTATATGTGAAAACTGGCAAAGCATATACATGTACAGCCGTAACTTAAAACATTCTCCTGGAACGTGTTTTACTAAGAATTAGATTTATAATTTTGTCTGTGTCTATACCCATATGAAGAAAATTCGGAACACCAAATGAATGATGATGAATTCGAAAATGGTAACATTTTGAGTTTTATTCAAGTAAGGCCACAATCATATTCTTATGACATTCAAGCATATGAATAGATATATCTTATAAACATTGGAGTAACTACAGAGCAACATAGTATATTATTATATACATGCATACCTCATCTGGATAACAGCGTCTCTGGCTGGATGATACTGGTTATAAAACGGGATAATAAAACATCATGTCGCTCTCACGCGCTCAACTTTCCCCGATCATATTTCCATTGTTCTGAGCCTCTCTAGCAAACATCGACGGAAACCACGAACACATATTTCCGAACGACGGAAGCAGTTGACAACAACAACAAAAAAAGTGGAGATTACCTGGTTGACGACCTGGTAATCTCCACTTTTTTTTTCATGGTTTTATTATTTTTTCGGCAAAATAAAATATTAATTGCCCTTACTGTAGTGAAACACTAATATTTGTTTCACCGAAGTTAAGGATGTTTCACGGTTCGCACTCTTGAAACACGATTAAGCTTGTAGAAACGGAATCGTATTTCCCTACATAAGAACAATAACTGTATAATCAGATAGCCTAAGTGGAATCGCGATGAAGGCCAACACAAAAATACAATACCAAAAACACCGCCGGCGTATCTTTCTTAAGTGGGATTAAAAACCCCACAAAGATTGTAAGTAGTGGACGTATATTAAAAGCTATAGCCATCGGGGCTTCTTGATGTTTAAAATAATTGACTGCTGAATATGACGCACATCCCTAGAGCTACCTGACCAATCGATAACAAGCATACATATGGGCGCCATTGATGCCATTCTCAGCAGCTAATAAACAACCCGTATCGAGACACTCCTAAGGTATCTATCAATACATGTTTTATATTTGTAAACATGATTATCTATTAAAATATAGACCCCAACACATTACTTTGCGCAATTAATTCATATTTAAACTACGGAAACACAACATGACATTCTGAGTATAAGAAGAAATTGCTAAATTTGTTATTGCTTCTACAATCAAAACAAAAATGGACCACCAAATAAATGAAAATTTCCATCACAATCAGGGGGCAGTTAATTTAATTTCGTTCTTCTAATAAAGCAACTCTGATGCCTCCAAATATTAAGTAGTTATGTATGACGGCTTCTGTGATGCTAGAATATTTTTTTATACACATGTACATAATTCTTTGCCTTTTGGTATACACATTAATTTCATCACTTCCATCAGTACAGATAGAAAAGGAAACTAAGTACAACTGAAACTAAGTAGACATTGCTCTCGATGTTTGCGACCCCGTTGTTGCTATCTCGATCTTCTGCAATTCTGGGGTCCTTGACCTCCTCCTGTGGAATCAGAGGGGATCCGAATGCATGGCAATTATGAAGCACGCGCATCTGACGTGTCACTGGACACCACAACGGGGTCGTGCGGTTGGCCCCTACAACTTGACAAAACGGGGTATCCGCTAGATCATTTAGAAATGACCCCGCTATTTCCGGTGGCCCCGAACATGTATTTTCGTCCAGAGTGACTGCCGCCGACGTTTGCCAGCGAAGTAGGCTCATGTTACACGCACACAAGTTGATGACGTTGAACCGGAAGAAAAGGATGACGTTTGTCTCACGATCTACGTTTGTGTAAATGTCACCTACACCACAGTGACTTGGAAAGATGTTCTGGCTCACGTTCAATGTAACGTTCACCAACTTGTTCAGTGGTGATTGTCCGACGTAAGCGAACTTGTTCAAATCGACATGTAAATTCAATACGCCGCTGACGTCATCTATGGCTTCGCGTTCAAGCTTGTTGACTGTAAGATTACGGAGACGGAATGTCCCTACATCTCTGATTTTTGTGAAGGCTTGTGTGGAAATTGTGTCTATCTTAGAGTTCTCAAACACTAGTTCCTCTACATCTGCAACCAAAGCGAAAGCGTTCTGAACAATACTTGTTATATTGTTCTTCGAAAACTTTATAGAGGTGAAGTTTGAAATTCCAGAAAATGCACAGGTCTGTATGTAAATTATGTCTGTCGAAGATATCTCCAGAACTCGGAGATGAGGCATTTTGGCCAAAGCATTTCGCTGAATATACGATATCTTGGATTCCCGTATGCGTAGGATTTCCGTGTCCGGGTCGAGGTTTGCCGGGAATGATTCCCGGTCGAGACTCTGGCACTCTATGGTAGTGCCAACACACTCACACCCAATGATACACGTGTCCGTCCGTGCATCACAATAGTAACACATCAACAGCCACCACAGTAATCCCGTCCAACCCCGGGATGACATCATGTCTTCTGAGAAGTTATCTGAAAAACGAAATCATAATCATTACAGAATCATATTTTAAGCGTCTATAGTAGTACAAAAGTAATATACCACAACGTCAACAAACCACGACAAAATATACCACAGCGTCAACAAACCACGACAAAATATACAACAGCGTCAACAAACCACGCTAAAATATACCACAGCGTCAACAAACCACTTCAAAATATACCACAGCGTCAACAAACCATTTCAAAATGTACCACAGCGTCAACAAACCCCGAAAAAATATACCACAACGTCATCAAACCACGAAAAAATATACCACAGCGTTAACAAACCACGACAAAATATACTACAGCATCAACAAACCACTTCAAAATATACCACAGTGTCAACAAACTACGACAAAATATACCACAAGGTCAAAACACTTATATGATTGTTGTGGTAAGATAATTTGAAGACGATGTTAATGTGAGGTGGATATAAAATATTCATTTTATAAATCGTTTTATCGGAACAGCGTTGGTTTCCTTAGTACATGTAAGGAGTTAATCACAGATCGAGGTGTCAGTTTACATTTTATCAACTGATCGCCAGTCTCTATTGTATAGTTGTAACATGATGTTATAGTGTTGTTCAGACGCTCAGTTTGTACATAGAAGTATTGTTATGTGATCGGCGTTAATGACGTCATACGATATTATATTTACATACTACTAAGTAGTATTACTCGAAAGACCCCTGCCGGATATATATGGGAACAAGGACTCTTATGTCGACTTCATAAAGCGCGTGACTACATAATCATTATATGTAGGTTGATTCATAATTTGATTTATTTGAGCTTGTTATACTAATGAAGAACGAGCAAGACCGACTTATCAAAGCTGGTTAACGTCACGATTATATAATGCTTATTTCAGATACACAACTTTCGTTCTGTTTAATATTAAAAAAGGGAATTCAAAACTAGGTGTGCATGTATATAGATCCAAAATGGTCGTTCATAGAAAAGAAAGACAAAATATCCTTGCAGTTTCATATATTTAGAAAAAAACCACCAATTAGAATAATCTGCTAAATACCTTCTGAAGCTAACCAGGCTTTGACCAATCTCAGGCTACGATCTTGTTCAAGATCCAAGTGCAAACGAAATGAACAATGTATAGAAGTTGTATCTTTTTTTTTTTAATTTTTTTTTTTTTTTAATTTTATTCGTTTGTTAAATTTTTCATAACCTGATGCTTTTCCATAACGTTTCCATCGATGTATAGGAAACGTATTTTCTTAATTTTCGAAAAAAGTTTTCATATGATAAAGACAATGCAATATGACAGCACCGCTATTTACAATGACCGACCACATGATTCGTACAATTATAGGTTATTTATAGATCATGATTCATTGTATGTTAGTGTTAGTTATCTGGATCATTAACGGTATCAGTTAATTTTGGTTCGAGCAAAGGGTCTATAGTTTCAACTGTGCCTGTGCCCACAGTGTATATGTTGTAAGGATCATCCATGAACGTTGTGGACAAATACCTATTTGTCTCGCAAGAAAGTAATAAATTGAATTAAATTGCTTTAGTGTCAAAACATCAGATTTTTTTTTAAATTAAATAAATGACGAAGAATCTGTATTTAAAGTTATATTTTGAAATGATAGAATACGTGGTGCCTAATTTATATATAATCATGTTGCCAATCGCATTATTTCATTTTATTACATACTTACTAATAAATACGGGGTTTTTGTATATGCGATGCGACACAATTGCTCTTCCCCATATCAGCCCTCGCCGTATCACACCCCAAAACCCGTACCAGCCCCCGCCGTATCACACCCCAAAACCCGTATCAGCCCGCAAAACCCATATCACACCCCCTTTGGATTTTTTTTCGTTTTTCAATATTCCAAAAATAAAAATAAATGATAAGAGTAGTTTTCTCGGGTTAATACTGGGTATGATATAGAAAAAGGCATGTATTATTCTCTATGTATATTAAACCTTCCATACAGGCAATATAATACAATATGGCATATACAATGTAATACATGTACCACATGTACCACTTTTAGAAAATATTATTTGAAAAAATACAAAATGTTTTCGAAGCAAACGTGGGGTATATTGTGTGCTCATGTTTTATACAACATAAAATAAATATTTCAGTAATGATAATAAACATATCAGTGGCGGATCCAGAGACCTATCTGGGGAGGCTTTCCAAATTTCAGGGGAGGGGGGTCCATGTGGGGAAAAATTGAGGAAAATGGTGAAAATACAAGACTTTTAAAGAAAATTATCGGGGGCGGGGGGTCCTAAAGCCCCAAAAAACCTTCTGGATTCGCCACTGCATATTATATCGTAGATGCATCAGGGTGACTGACACTTGAAGTTCTCGCTTAAAAGTTATAAAACAAGGCTAATTTACACTATTGCGCGAGACTGTCATAATGGACCGGTCCCCTACTACCCTACTACCTATTGACTGGCGCCCAAAGTAATAAAACTCTCGGGAGGAAACAGAACTAATACATAATTACACCACGGGCTTAGTTAGCCAATCGATTCCCGTGATTAATACTATTTTATATTTTATTACTTATACATTTTGACAGATAGATGTCCACACTCGACAACGATCTATCGAAATGTCTAAGTCTGATGTCAGGGCCAGAGGACACTCGGGCTAATTCACACCATATGTTATCATCCCGTAAGAATACCTTCGATACTTTTTGTAAACTTTTTCCCAATCCTTTTGCAAAGTATAACAGCGTATGGTTGTGACAAATTCAATGAAACAGATATATAACAATGTACACGGGTTTCTGTTTTGATAGGGAGGTTTTTACCGATCTTTACGAATTCTACGTACATTAACGTAATAAACTGAAGTCATTGTGGAATAAAACATCAATTAGAGTACGTACCTTACCGTCGTAGATTTTCGAGGCGACTGAGCCTGTTCCTAGTGTGTGACGATGGTAGTTCGGACATTGTACTGCGCCGTTGTATTATAACATTGACAATACATCGTACTCAGATTCTAAAAGCCTTATCAGTCTGAAGGACAGCTATAAGCTTTAACTTTTTTAAAGATATTTTGAAAGCCATAAACTGAAAATATGAATATTATCATGTATTATATCAGGAGGTTGTATTTTTGAAAAACCTAATAAAAAGAGGTTTGTTAGTGATGTTGTGAAAAAGTAACGCCAAACTTTTTTTTATTCTGTATGGAGTCCGAAAGCTTATGAAGCTCGTTACAATGACTGGGGTTCAGACCGGACGCATGGGCGTTACTCACTTCCGGTTTCTACTTCCCTGTGTGTGGGCGAGTGTATACATGTAATACGATACAGGGGCGTACACTGTACCATATATACAATATATAAGTACTATATATATGTTAGCACTAGTACTGCACACTTACTTATAAGGGACGACTTGCCTACACGGTCTTGATGCAGCATGGGCATGTTTTTGTTTGGTGTGTAGGAAAACATATTGGAGACCATACAGTGTATGTCTGCATATATATACTGTATGCGTTAATGATGATGATGATGATGAGGATGATGCTGATGCTGATGCTGATGATGATGATAGTATATGTATATATATAGTTACAAGTAGTGTATGTGCACGTAAAGATAGCTATGTGGAAACACATATGTGGATGCTATCCTAAATACTTCACGGGTTACGCTCACATTCGCTCTCTGCACCCCTGGAATATGTCTCAGCAAATTCGAAAGCCCAGTTTACACCACGTCGTGAATGCGACGAGAAGACGAGTTTGATCCTTTGGTGTACAACAAATGAATCTGTCGGTCGCGTAACGGTAAAATTGACTGTTTTTCCTCTGTAATCTTCAATTGACAGATACACAAATTGTTAGCCGCGTGCCTTCAATTTTGTTATGACATATCCCAGGGGTGCAAAGAGCGAACGTTAGCGTAACCCCTGGAGTATCGAGGATGTTGGATGTTGGCACATGGACGGGAGAATTTGTTGCAACTATATTTGGACCTAAATTAAAATGTTCAGAGTTTTAGGCGTTTATATCAACTTTCGTCAACAAGAAATGTGTTTTTTGATCCAAAAAAGTTAGATGGGACCGATTTTTCAACATCGATAGCTTTCCATCCTTCTCATATATATGTATATCATCACTTGGGATGACATTTGCACCGAAAGTTGATCTTAACCCCGACGTAAAAATTGGATTATGACGTAAAAAATCCCTCGGGGAAAAAAAAGGATGATCAAAGCACTTTTTAGGGACGAACAACCCTTTTCTTCTCTTTATGCACACACAACATTTACAATGACATAAGATGGCATATGAAAATGGACTATATAATTTACAAACATTATATTTAGAGGTAAGATACACAGTAGAAAAAATGTATAGGATGAAAACGTGCGCCAGACAAAAAGTGCCGTTCATGTTTAGATAAATGTGGGTTTCCTGCCTGACGCACTTTTTGTTTATAGTGTTAAATGTACAGTACACAATTGTTTCGTGGTTATTTCGGGAACAGTCAAAACTATCCCGAGGTAAGGGGAAGCCCTGGGCAAATAGTTCCACAGGGCTTCCCCCTACCGATGGATGGTAGTTTTGAATGTTCCCGAAATACCACCGAAACAGTTATTTTCTTACCCAAATAGTAAACAAAACTGAGTCGCGGTTATCGAAACACTTGAACGCATCGAATTCGCGCCGTGTAACAGTTTGCTCTGACTGGGGAAACAGTTTTGATTGTTTTACTCCGAAATTGGACAAAAGCCAAAAACAGTCAAAAATGACTAATCATAATTTATATAGACTATTGGGAAATAATAAGCGTTGTTCTGTAAAGATATGTGATGTGCGCGTCTTAATTTGCGTGTCAACAAGCACTTTGCCCATTTCCGGTACTTCCCCGTGGATGAAAGCCTTCTTGGAGATTCAGACTGCATAATCAATAAACAATATTATAGGAAACTCCTACGATATCCGTATTTATTTAACTATAACAGTAATATTGATGGCCGTTCTATAGTGATCCAATTTTTATGTTGATCCTTGGGATCTGCCAATTTCACTATGTCGGCAACCGATCAAACATGACCGTAATCCGAAACGATTTGTTGTTGTCATATTTTTTATTTAATTGTGACATGATATGTTTAACCTTGTCTCTCATCCTCGATATCCAGGGGCTACGCTCACTTTCGCTCTCTACACCCCTGGAATATGTCATAGCAAAATTGAAGCTCGGTGTGCGCCACCTTGTTGATGAGACAAGAATACTAGTTAGATCCTTTGATGTACATCAAAAGAATCTCGCGGTCACTTAAAGGTAAAAACTGACAGGCTTTGAAGTCGGGCGTCTCTCCTTTGTAATAATTAAAGGACAGGTTTCAGCCTAACGATTGGTCAGGTTTTTTTTACCTGACACTAATCCAACAGCTTTCTTCGTGCCTTCAATTTTTCTATGACATATTCCAGGGGTGTAGAGAGCGAAAGTGAGCGTAAACCCTGAATCCGTTGCAGGAGAGTGTGAAATTCATTAACAGAGTTATCTCTCTTGGAACATTAAATAAGCGGGAGGTCCAACACGCGTAATTTGAAAAATTATTCATAATATCCCGCCTTCTTCAATATAAGACTCATCTTCGCTAGCCAAGGGTTGATCCGGTACGATGTACCTACTGGATCAACCCTTGGCTAGCGAAGATGTATAAGACTGGACAACAATATTACGTTTGTTATGTACAGATTGTTAAAATATTTGGAATGAACAACGAAATTAAGCACTGATGAATTTGATAAAAACACATTTAAACGGACGGATAATTTACATGTAGCTGTATTTCAGAAAGGAAATCTTTAAAAGTAACGATTGTGCTGATATTTACCTGGTAAAGCTGGGTCAGCATGAAGACCCTTCTAATTATCTATTATAACAAATACTACTACTACTAGCGGAACCCTACTCTCAAACGTTATGTACAAATATAAACAACGGAAAATGAACATTTATATTTTAATCAACGACTATTGAAACGGCATATGAACATGTACGGTTTGTGTAGGAAGGCTGGCGATACCGTCATGGAGTTATCAAAAATCGGTCATAATCATACGGCTAATCAGAGACCGCAGCGGCCATCTTGGAAACACCGTTAAAAGGTTTCTTGCACATCTGCGTATGTCGATCAGTTCATGGCTGAAGAAGAAGAAGAATTAGAACACCAATTGCCAACTGTTGCGGATCCGGAAGTCATCCCCTCTCCCCGCACGAAATTAAATACTACCACTACATCTAACCAAAAAAAGTAATAAAAATAAAATAATATATATATATATATATATATGTTATATAAAGAAAAATTCTTAACAACGAGTCTTTAGTACTTTCATCTCTTCTAGGAGATTCTTCAGACTAAATAATTTAAGGATTTTTTAATGATTTTTTAATTCTTGGCCCACTTTTATTTCTTATATTTATTAATGACATAGCAGATATTTTTGAATCAACGTCTCGTCTTTTTGCAGACGATAAATCATTACTTAAGTCATCTTCATCTTCTCTAGAAATTCAAGAACCTTTAAATAGAGACCTAGAGTTCTTAAATACTTGGTCCAAAGCCTGGTTGGTTAATTTTAATCCTGAAAAAACAGATGTATTGTTTATTTCGAATTCAATCGATATCGAAGAAGACTTAGATTTAGAATTTGATGGAAAAGTCTTAAACTTTACAGATTATCATAAACATTTAGGGGTAACTTTTAATTCGAATGCAAAGTGGGGGATCATGTAAATGGAATTTACAGTTCTGTTATGAAAAAAAATTCCCAATTTTCCGTGGACCTTAACTCAAACATTTTTAGATCTGTGCAAAACTTTATTAAATCAGGCAAGAGATTTTGAGTTCAAATTGTAATAATTTTTGTCATTATTGTAATGTCATTTCAAATGTATATTGGGAGAAGGCGTTGATAAGTTGTTATAACTTGTGCCTAATCCCTTGACTAATTTTGGCAATAAATATGTTTAAACTAAACCAGAAGTAGATATGTATCTGTGTTGGTGATGTCAGCAAAATGTGACGTATGCTTAAATCCCAGACTCGCGCCATAATTTAAAGCGCAATTTGTATATATCTTGATCTATCAGAACTTTTGTGTAGGAATACTTCGGACATTTTACATGGCTGTGTTTGAAGAACGAAAAAGTACAGAAAATGATTTCATATGATAAAAGAGTGTTCCATCGATTAATAGAGAGCTTTATGTTAATTTCTGATACATATGTAAGAATGAAGTTTAAAAATATCCGTTAAATCCTCTAGTGACATCAGATTCATTGAAACATATCACTTTACTCCGATAACGATCACATGAATATTATTCACACGAAAAAGGAGACCAACGTTACACTGCGTGTTTGTCGCCCCTCTTTAATCTTCAAATGACAGGTATAAGCCCGCAATTGATCAGGACACTTTCCTGAGACCAATCAAATAGCTAGTCGAGTGCCTTGAATTTTGGTATGACCTATTCAGCGAAAGTGATCGTAACCCCGGGGGTATCGAGGATGAAGTTGATACAATCAAGTTTATATCTATACGTGTTCTTCCATCGGTGGTTGACTACGTGACTGGTTTCATACACATACATAAGTATCATATGTGTACACATTCCAGTCCGAGCTATCGATCTCAATCATTACCGTTAGGTAATTGATAATACTGACACGGAATTAGATTAGTCCGTCGTGAAGATAAGCATGTGTACATTACTCAATGCGGTCGTTCACCGATGACGTCATCAGCATATCATCTGACTTCACATGTTACACAGAGGTCATCTCCGAACATTCAAACACAACAAAGTTTCTGGGGGATCGTTTACAAATATTCAAACTATTGGGCTAGCTTCTAAATGACATAATTTCAGTAAAACTTTTGCGTGTACGAGCTTATCTGAAAAAAAAACCCTTTTGTGTATTGTGTGCTTGCCGTGTAATTTTCAAACCATAAATGGATGCATGCT